TTTGATTATAGTTTATAGTTTGGTTAGATTAGAAACATTTATATTTAATTATAAATATGTAATGTATTATTTTATTTAAGTTATTTAAATTTATTTAATATTTTAATTATATACAAATTAGTTTATACAATAATAGATTAGATTTAGTTTAATTATGTTAAGTTATGTTAGATTAGGTTAAATTAGATTAGTAACATTTATTTTTATATTTATAAAATACAGTATATTTTTTATTTATTTTTTATTAAATAAATTAAAATTATTTATAATCGCACGATACAATAAAATTACTTGCATGACACAACTTAATACATGTTTTTTAATTATTTTAATAAAATAGTTAATATAATAATAATATAAAATAATTAAAAAATTTTAATTATATTATTGTATTTTACTCAGTGATTTGTCTAGTTCTTATCTATTACTACAGTTTTTGTCTTGTTAACTACTAGTTAATAACTATTACTACTTATTATTATAAACTTATTATATATCACATACACACATCACTCATACATACATACATACGATTAGTTAACTATAGTTAGTTTAGTTATATAGTATATAATTTTATAAATAATTATACCGTATATATATGTAAATTTAAATTGATATCAGTATTACAATTTAATTATATATTAAATTAATTTTAATTTAATATATAATTAAAAACAATGTATTTTAAATATATTGAATAGTTCAATCAAAAACAACATAATAAATAAATAAAAATAATTATATGCTAAACAAGTTTAATGTCAATGACGGTATTGACGCTAATTTATAATATAAATATATAAATAAATACAGTGCGTGTGTGTGTGTGTGTGTGTGTGTGTGTGTGTGTGTGTGTGTGTGTGTGTGTGTGTGTGTGTGTGTGTGTGTGTGTGTGTGTGTGTGTGTGTGTGTGTGTGTGTGTGTGTGTATTAGGTAATAATAATAATGAATAATATAACCAATTGTATGGTTTCTACAGATTTTGGGTATTAGTCATACAAAAAGTTGTAGGCCTTAGACATAAATATAATTGGGTATCAAAATAAAATTAACTGTTGAATAGTAATGTATATATACAGTACATAAAAAACTGCATTTTGATATCAAATCATAATATTATCATTAAAAATAAATAAAGTTTACATATTATATATAGTATAATAATGAGAAACCATGAATACATAACAATCATTTGATTTGTTACTAAAATTTTTATAACAATTATTTTGTAGTTAAATGTTGTGTTTATTATAATTTGCAAATATATATATAATACAAGTTAAATTCAATATAATTTTATATTATTATTTAATATAGTGAAATATATTCATGTATGTATCTAAATAGTTAGTGTAAAATTTTATTTTTGTAACAAAATTATAAAAGTGATATAATGTATACAGTCATTTAATAATTTAGCAAATAAATCTGACAAATATATTTAGCAAATATATCAATTATTTGTTTTTTATATATCAATAATTATAATAAAATATTTAATACAATTTACAATATTAATGCTAAATCCATAATACGTAAAATTAGAGTTTTGTGTTATACACACAGTATGTTATATATGATAATTGAGTTTTATTATTGAATACTAAAATATACTATAGTTATAGTTATTATTATTATAAATATTTTATTAATATATACAGTATATACTGTATATTATAATATGAGATAGTATTCAAATAATATAGTATCAAAAAATCAGTTTTCAATTCAATGAACAAATTTCACTATTTATACTCTCTCTCTCTCTCTTTCTCTTTCACACACACACACACACACACACACACACACACACACACACACACACACACACACACATAAATACATTGTTTAAAAATTAATGACATTGACAACTGTTTTTTAAAAATATTATTTTTTGTTACTCATTATGTTTGATAATAAATGAACTGAATTTCATAATTATTAATTTTATTTTCTGTATTTTAACTAAAATATACTGTACTACTAATAATTATTATTTCCTTAAATATGATTTTCATTTGAACAATAAAATAAATTTATTATAATAATGTATTTTAATTATAATATATATATATAATATGCATATATATCTATTAAAATCTTTGATATATATTTTAATATAATTTAATAATTTTTATAATTACCTATGTAATACATATGTTTAACATCAACAACAAGTTTGTAAATAATATTATAATTATTATAAATTATAAATAATAGTAGTTGTTGTGGTTTAATAGCAATTGAAAATAATTGAATACAAGATTGTGTGTGTGTGTGTGTGTGTGTGTGTGTGTGTGTGTGTGTGTGTGTGTGTGTGTGTGTGTGTGTGTGTGTGTGTGTGTGTGTTAATATAATATAATTTATAAATATAACATAATTTTAATATAATTAAAAATACTTTAAAACTTACTTTTTCTTAAACTTTCGGTTAGGTTTTCTTCAAAACAATTAGGTTTACTTGAAAACGGGTTTTAAAATTAATAAAAAAAAAAAAAAAAAAAAAAAAAAATTATTTTATTATAAAAAAAATTCAAAAAAAAAATTTAACTTACTTCTTACCAAATAATTTAGTAATAACATTGAAAACAAAAGGGTTGAAAAAAATATTTTTTTCAAACCTTTTGTTTTCAATCAATCATTATTATTATTTTTATATGCAATAAATTTTTTTGTATATGCAACTTTTAGTTAGGACATAGGTTCGAATCCAGGGACTATTATATTTTTTTTGAATTTTTTTTTTGAATTTTTTATTTTTTTTGAATTATAAATAAATTATAAATTAATTATCTAATTAAACTAAATTAAATTAAACTAAATTAAACTAAACTAAACTAAACTAAACTAAACTAAACTAAATTAGGTTAGGTTAGGTTAGGTTAGGTTAGGTTAGGTTAGGTTAGGTTAGGTTAGGTTAGGTTAGGTTAGGTTAGGTTAGGTTAGGTTAGGTTAGGTTAGGTTAGGTTAGGTTAGGTTAGGTTAGGCTAAAAAATTTACTTCCGTATTTGGCCAATGACCGGCCATAACCGATCAATCAATTGAATCAATGTAGGTCATAACCGGTCATTAACCTCGGTCAATGACCGGACTTGACCTTACATAATAATTAGGTCACATAAACTCCTCCCACCTATAAGCCCCTCCCATTTAAGCTCCTCCCTCTTAGAGCTCCAAAGGGACCCTGTACTACTCATATAAATTATAATTTGTTAAATTATATTACATTATTTTATTACATTATTATATTGCTTTATTATAGTACTAATATTATATTAAATTAAATACTAATACTTTATATAATTATAAAAACACAACTTATATTTATAACAATATATTATATATGATATCTACTGTATATAGTATATAACATAAATAATTGAAAATATTTAGTTTTTATTACATATTTTATAATAATTTTTTTTAAATATTTAAGTAAAAATCGTTATTTAGGATTAAAATATTTTTATTATTATTAGTAGAATAAAAACTAAAATAAATGTTTACAATTAAAATATGACAAAAAAAATTATAATTATTATGTTTAGTAGTTTACTATTAAAGATAAACGCAATTAAAAAGTAGTAATTTTGTTATTTTATTCAATTAGATAGAGTAGACTAATAAATAATTAGTAAAATAAATTACAAAAACCTTAAAAATTTTTATACTTATAAATTATAATTATTTATATTTTTATTATATACAGTATATATAAGACTAGCAGTTATATTATTAGTATTATTATATAATACTGTAGTATTTTATATGCAGTCGAGTGGTTTTAACCACTAGTCTATTAGTTGTTGCTGTTGATGGTGATATTGATGGTGGTGTTGATGGTGATAAATGAATTGATACACAAGTTATTAGATAAACATGTTTGTAATTTATTAAATTTTAATAATCAATTAGATTAAATACATTGATTAATATATAGTAATAGTATAACATTTGATTGTATAAAACTTAGGATAATACATCAATGAGTTGATGTCTTAAAAAAGTGAATCCTGTATCCCGTATAGGGATCTCATTAACAATTGCTTTTATATTACATACTGTTGAGGTCAATGGCTCTGGTACTTACCAATCAGAGGTCAGATTCATTGTTGCATTAGTACTCCATTGCAGGACTAAGTATTGATGCAACTTATGGGACATGTTTGGAGGTCTGTAACTTATTAGGGTTTGGTGGTACAAAGATTGTACCCATTAATTATTATTTGTTTATAGTTATAGTACTCTGAAATCAAATTTGGTATAAATCGCTACCCGGGAAGTATTAGTTTTATGACTTTAAAAGTTTAAGTTTTTTAAACCAAATAAGCATTGATAGGGAGAAAAATATAAAACATTAATTAAACGCAGTTGTCTCAATAGTGGACAACACATATTATAAACAAAATAGATATATTGAGAAATGTTTTTTAAATAAAACATAAAACTATTTATTGTTTAGATTTAATTTTTCCCATATGTCTTACATATATATATATATATATATATATATATATATATATATATATATATATATATATATATATATATATATATATATATATATATATATATTTATATATTATTATATTACTAATATTATATTATATTAAATACATATACTTTATATAAGTATAAAAACACGACTTATATTTATAACAATATATTTATTACCTGTATATTTTATAACATATAAATAATAAAATAATAATAATAATATTTGGTTTATATTACATATTTTATTAAATATTCTCAAATTGCAATCATATTAAAATAAAAATTGTTATTTAGGATTAAAATATTTTTATTATTATTAATAGAATAAAAAACTAAAATAAATGTTTATAATAAAAATATGATTCAAAAAATATATAACAATTATGTTTATTAGTTTAATACTAATAGTATCGGTAGTAGTAGTGAATGGTTTGCACTCACATATCAAACAATACCCGAACGTAACGCTCGACACGTGTGGTATCGGCAGACAATCACTGTTGATGACCGGTCAGTGTCTCAGATGGTCATCCAATATCATTACTAGTAGTGTACAAAATGGACGGTTAGCCAAACCGGGAGAGTGGCCGTGGATTGTATCGATTTTATTACAAAAATATTTTTTGTATTTTATACCAACTAAAAGGTAATTTTAATATATTTTAATTAAAGTTTTTATTTTTTTTTTGATAAACAAATAAATAATAATTTTAAATAACTATAATAATTACTATTTTTTGTGTACAATATTTAATTTTATTGTTGTTGTTGTTGTTAACTTTTTTGTTGTTGTATCTTAAAATAGTTAGATTCAATTTTTTTTATAAACTTACAAATTTTAATGATAAGACTAAACAAAATATAATATTTAAAAAAAAAATAATTATTAAATGTATGTATAATTTAATTTAAGCTCTAAATGCACTGGTGTTATACTAAACAGATATTGGATACTAACTGTTGGACACTGTATTAGGTAATTATTATAGCATTTAAAAAAATAATGTAAAAAATACTTACTGTATTATAAATTAAAAAAATTAATTTCAATATATTTGTTTATATACAATAACATCAAACAAATAAATTAATTTTAGTAAAAGATCTGAATATACGATAACTGTTAGCACAGTTCAAGATCAGAGACATACATACGATGTGGACAAACGTATAGTTCACCATAATTTCCATAGAGATGATACTGATAGACCAAATGCCAGATATGATATTGCATTATTGAAATTGGTTTTACCGATACCGATACCAACCATCCCTATCGCATTAAGTGGTGGCCAATTTCAGCAGCAAACTAACGGCATTTGTTTGCCCGACAAAGATATTGTTAACACTGTTGAAGAGTTGGCATTGACTGCCGGTTTTGGTGATATTGATGATGAAGTTGACAATTATGATCAACAATTGTTGATGGGTTGGCTAAAATTAGTTAAAACTGTTAATACAAGTTACGATAAGTGGGGTTATTGGATCAGAGCCTATAGATATCCCCCTAATACAGGTACTGCTTTATGTATGGTAAGTATTAATACTTAAATTTATATATTGATATAATATAAATAGTATAAGGCGTTGTTCACATATTACGTTCGCACTTTTTAAGAAATCTAGACCCCCTCTCTCCCCTATGTTCGCAATTTTTCGCATGTAGTCATTTAAAAAATTACGTTCGCTTGTCCATAACCGCCGCTACCCCCCCCCCCCCCCACCACAATAAATAAAATATTATCTAATTGCGAACGTTCTTAATGTCTCTACCCCTCCCATCCCCTTGTTCGCAAAAGTTCGCTTTGGCTAACCCCCCTCACCTCAAGTGCGAACGTAATATGTGAACCACGCCTAATATCATAGTATAGTACTGTATCATAATTTTTTATATTAATTATTAAAACCAGGAGGTATAACATATTTATGTGTACACTATTGATATATATTATATACTATATATATATATATATATATATATATATATATATATATATATATATATATATAAATAGTAGCTTTGTTATTTAATCAATTAGCTACAGTAGACTAATATTAAATAATTAGTAAAATAAATTGCAATAATGTTAAAAAATTTTATATACATATAAATTATAATTTGTTATAATATTATAATTATTATATATATATATATACATTATTATATTACTAATATTATATTAAATTAAATACTTATACTTTATATAAGTATAAAAACACAACTTATTATTATTATTATATATATACTAAATTCAGTTTACTGTATATAATATTATTTTTTGTTTGTTATATTATTTTCGACTTATAGGGCGATTCTGGCGGACCATTGGTCCAGTATGTGGACGGCGGTCGGGCCGTACTTATTGGCCTAAACTCTGCAATTGATATTAATATCAATTGTCTTAAATACAAACCAAAAGCTTCAATGTTTTTTATAAGAGTTTCCCGATTTGTCGATTGGATTGTCGATAATATTAATAATAATAATAATAATTAAATATTTTTGTTGCCAACATATAATTATATATTATAGTTACTTAAGTTATAATGTAGTTTTCATTAATATATTGTATATTCAATTAAATAGTAAATTATTAATAATTAGTAAAATAATTTGTCGATTAGATTGTGAATACTATTAATATATAATTAGAGATATTTTTAAAATATAAATATTCATCTTAAAATTTTAGTAAATAATTTATATAAAATAGATTTTTTTTAAACACATATTTTTAATTAAAAAATTTAAAAACAACATTTATTCAATTAATTTATTGATAACATTTACAATATAATTAACTATTTGTTGTTTTCTTAGATAATTATAGTTTTACAATAATTGTTTGTAATATCATTTTATTTATTTTAATTAATTAAATTATTTAACTAATATAATATGTGTAAATATTGTTAATTTAATAAATCTAACTAGATACAAATACTAATAATTATTTAAAATTATTTAGAGAGAGAGAGAGTGCAATAATTTTAAAAATATTAATTTTCTCTAACAAAAAAAATATTATTTATATTAAATTAACAACTATTTGAATAGGTTTACAATTTGGCCGAAAATGTTGGTCAATTGCCTGATTAGCGTACTGACAGCTGGCCGTACCAAAATCGGTACATTTTTCAACTGTCCCTCTAATACCTGACCGACTCCCAGTCCAATATCTTTGAAAAAACCGGCAAAAACCGGTAAAAATTTGTTTGCCTTATTCTTCAATAGTTTGCCAATATTACCGGACAGTCCGACCAGATATTGTCCAAGTTTTTTACTATATAACGGCTTTCCCTTACGTTTGTGTCCAATAGTCAATGGCGTGGCAACCGTTTTGATAACTGGAACCAAACCGGCAAACAGTGTGGCTGCTCGGCCTACCTGATCGCTCACTAGTTTGATTTTCAATGTTTTCTTATAGGCATCCATAGCATTGGCCAAATCATGCATCATTGATGGTAAGTCATCCCTGAGCACAAATCCCAGATCATTGGCCTGAACTTTGCCAGCGTTTTTGAAAAATGTATTCAACAATTTTGATAGTTCAGCCAGTTTTGGCTTAAATGTCTTATCGTTGGCAATATTGGAGAAACCATTTTTGGATAATAGAGATCCAATGTTAAATACCGGTGCCGAAGCTGTTAATTAAGCATATAGTTTAATATAGAGTATAATATATATAAATTTGTTATACAATATACCTTGAATGGTTATGACAAATTGCATGCTAAATACTAATAGTAGCATAGTTGCTAGTTTAGTTGCATCCATGATAATAGGGTAAATTATAGGTATATAAAATTATTATTATTATAAAAAACTATTATACAATATTGTGTTATTTTTTTGTTAATAATAAAAACTGATAGACTATAAGCTCCTTATATAAAATTAAAAAATTATTAAAACTACTTATGATTTCCTAATATACATATAATTATATATATATATATATATATATAATTAACTAATATTTCTATTAATCTTTATCGAATATTGCCATTAAATTAATCTCAATAAATGTAAAATAATTAATTTAACATTTAACACATTGCTAAAATTAAATAATTATCTAATTAATCAGTATAAATTAATTTAATTATTTAGTTTTAGTTCAATATTCTTATTATATTCTATATTATAAATCACAATTGTATCCCTCATAACTAATGTTGATGTAATAGTCATATTGATTAATAAAAAATAAGTGGCTAAATTATAGTTTAGCGATCAGTGATAAAACAGTGGTTTTTTTCCAAACGGATAGTGGCTACAAAAAATCCTATATGTAGATAAAAATAAAAATGTGGAAACACCTAAAACCTCAAATACATAAACTAATACCATATATATATATATGATAGAAATGAATAATTATTATAATATGCGCTAGAAAATTTTATTTTTAGCATAGTAATTATTAGTGTATTGATTAATAATTTTTTATACTCTATTAAATAGTTGTTATAATAGTTGCCAAAAAACGTCAAATAGTTGTTAAAATAGTTATTTAAACTGTATTAAATAGTTGTATATAATTGCCAAAAAAGCCAAATAGTTATTGAAATAGTTATTTATTTTCTTATAAATATTTCAACTGATATATAATTCACTTGTTTTCAGCATATTTACAAAAATGATTTATATAAATAAACTAAATATTTCTATTGTTAAAAAAGTAATATGAGTTGATAACAGTTTACACATGTTATATAATTTATATAACTATTACTTTTTGTTTTTACATATATTTGAGCAATATTTTACAATCTAATGCTTATATATTTCAAAATAACTGAAATAGTTATTTATAAGTTTTTATAGTTGCTAACCTAACAAATAGTTATTTATAGTTATAATAAAATTTCGGAAATAGCGTCCACTGGTCAACTTCGGTGGACATACTAAGTCCCAGTTATAAGCGTTAAACCGACAAAATAATTTTTTTAGTTGAAAATCAAGACATTAGTAATTATATATACAAATTTGTTAATTGAACCCAATAAATGTTTTACTTTGAAAAAACCAGTTTTATTACTGGTCGCTAAACTATAATTTAGCCACTTATTTTTTATTAAGCAATATGACTATTACATCAACATTAATTATAAGGTATAGAGAGCTTAGAATGTAAGTATGATATAAATTGTATATTTTCTATGCATATAATTGATTGATTGACAAAAAAAACTTTTTAAATACAGTATAAGTAAACTATAGATAACTAGTAATTATTATACAGTAGTTATAATTTATTAGTTTATTAATCTATACTAATTGTAATCAATATTTAACTGATAGTTAATTAATTTTATTTTGCAATAAAATAAAATAAAAATCATTTTTTACATTTACTTTATTATATTCATATTTTTACAATTTTTTTTAATACACATCATCATTAAAATTATTTTTATACTTATCGTATTATTAATTATTAAATTTATATAAAATTTACACTATATTATTGGTATTTAATACTGTAATTTTAAGACCGATAATATTTAATAAAAATATTATAATTAAACTATATTTTTAAAACAAATTTTATATTTTTATAAAAAAAAATTATTAATAATATAAACTTGTATATTATTATATGTTTAATAAAATTATAAAATGTATATTAATTTTAGAAAAAATAAATAAAAGTTCATGTATTTTTTAACAACAATCTTTAATCTTTATATATATATATAGATTAAAGTAAAGATAAAAATATAAGTTATTTAAGTTATACAATCGGGTCAGTGATATAATATAAAATAATTTAGTTATTTGTAATACTATTAGAAATATTTTTTTAAAGATATATATCATTAAATATATTAAAATTTTTTAAATTGTATAATACTATAATTGTAATATTTTTTTTTTGTTGATATTGTTGTTGTTGTTTATAATTAATTAATTATTATTAACAGTATTGACAATCCAATTGATAAATCGTGAAACTCTTATAGCAACCATCAAACCACTTGATTTATAGTCAAGACAATCATTTTTTTTAAGAGAACTGGCTCTCATTAGACCGATAAGTACAGCCCGATCCCCGACATACTGGACCAATGGTCCACCAGAATCACCCTATAATTACAGAGAGAAAGAGAGAGAGAAAGAGAGAGAGAGAAAGAGAGAGAGAGAAAGAGAGAGAAAGAGAGAGAGAGAGAGAGAAAAAATTGGAAAAAGAAAAATATTTATTACAATATTTTTTTATAATATGTACTGTATTTTACTGTACTGTATGATAGACTATACTATATATTATTGATATTATTATTAATAAACATACATTAATATAGTACCGGTACTTACCTTACAAATAGCGGCACCTGTATTGTTAGGATATCGGTAAACTCTGATCCTATCGCCCCACTTATCCTTACTATTATTTAACGGTTTGTCCATTTTTATCCAATCCATCATCAGTTGTCCATTATTGGCTACTCCTTCATCTAATTTACCAAAACCGGCAATCAATGCCAACTCATCGTCAGTATTCAAAATATCTTTGTCCGGCAAACATATGCTGTTAGGTAGCGACAGGTCATACCGATGACCGCTACTACCACCACTACCGCCAGCAGCAGCCCCTGTATTAGCTGTTGTCGGTATCGGTATCTGTGAATCCAATTTCAATAATGCGATATCATATCTGTTGTCCACTTTATTGTCAATTGTGTTGTACTTGTTGTGAACAATCTGTTTCTGTACGCCGTATGTATGGCCCTCTTGTCTCAAGTCCTGAACTGTTCGGACAGTTATCGTATAATCGGATCTTTTATTTGATTTGTTTGTTTAATAATTTTATTTAAAAAAAACAATTAAAATTTATTAAAATTTATAGTACTTATTAATTTTTTAAATATATATATATATAGATTTGTTATATTATAAAACTAAAAGACTTATATATATTATAGATTCAATAGTCTATAACTTTTAATTATATATACATTTTACTTACAAAATACAGTGAGCAGCTGTTAAAATCCAATTGCTATTCAATATAACTCCAGTACATCTAAAACTATAATATTATAATAAAATATTATTATATTATTAATAAATTAATATTAAAATTAAATATTATTATAAAACTATAATATATAAACCTTAGATATACCGTATTTTATATTTGGTATTATACACAAATTATTTGCAGTCATAAAACAATATTTTTAAGTATAGATTTTTAATATAAAATAGTTAGTTTTGTTATTTATTTATTTTTTGTTTGTTTTAAATAAAATGTATAAATGTGTTGAATTAACAAAATAAAATTTAAATTGATTAAAAATTAATTATTATATAATTTACACACACACATATATATATATAATATCTAATATATATTTATAATTTTTCACATTTATTAAGCTATTAATTTTAAATAAAAATAAAATTTATAAAAAATTACCTTGCTGGAATAAAAAAAGTATATTTTTTTCCTGAAATCAATGCAATCCACGGCCACTCTCCCGGTTCGGCTATCCGTCCATTTTGTAGACTACTACTAGTGATCGCATTGGATGACCACCGGAGACAATGGCCGTCAGTTATCAACAATGACTGTCTGCCGATACCACACGTGTCTAGTGTTACGTTCGGGTATTGTTTGATACGTGAGTGCAAACCATTCACTACTATTACTGATAATATTATTTTTAATAATATAATAACAAAAGTTTTAAAGTTTTCAATCATAGTTTAATTTAAAATAATTATTTTTATAATATTTAAATTTTAAAAAAATACAATAAATTTTTTTAACTATTATTATTAATAATAATACAGTATTATATATTAATTTTATAACTTAAAAAATAATTTTATTTTTACATGTAATATAAGAATTAGAATTTAAACAAATTTTTTAACAGAGTTTTTAAAATTTTAAAATTAATATCATATTTAAATTATAATATTTAATATTTCCAGAAAATAAATGAAATAAAATAAATTACACTTAAATTACTTTTATTAGTAAATATTTGATATTATATATCTAATAGTATATAATATATATTGTATTGTATCAAATAATTAATTGTTTAATTTTGTTTCACTAATTAATAAATAAATTATTTTCATTATTGGAGATAATAATTTTTTTTATTAAAATAGTTTTATTTAGTTAGTTATTATTATTATGTTTTTATAAACTATTTATTACTAAATAATTTACTTAAAAAATAAGTAATATAGAAAAAATCAATTATTAAAATAAATAAAATAATTGAAATACTATGATAACTTATACCACAGGATGTATTAACTAATAAACATTATTTTGTTTTTTAAAAAAAATATCAAATAATTTTTTAAAACATAAATATTAGTTTAAAAAACTATTGGTTATTATAATATTAAAAAACATTTATTATTTTATGAAATGTTAATTAATTTTTAAATATAGTTTTTTTTTGTCAAAAATACTGTTGTACTTATATGTACACTCTGGTAAAATTATAAATAATTAATTTAATCATAATAATTGATATTTGATTATATTTTTAAAAAAATATTGTATTCAAAATAATTTAGTATAAATTCTAAAAAAACATTTACAAAATATCAATAATCTGTGCCAAACATTATTTTTGATATATTATTATTTAATTAATATAACATAATTTGCTATAACATCTAAAAATAACATATAAATTTATTTACAAAATATTGATAAACAATAGTTATATATTTATAAATTATATGTTATGAGAAACAAAATATAGCAAACATTTATTTCATTAAACATGACCATGGTTATAATTATAATTTAATATTACTAACTTATGTTTTAATGATTTGTAAAATTGATAGCATTTTATTAGTTAAACATTAATACAGTATTTTTTAATTAATTATATTAAATAATTACAAACATGTTAAACATATATATTATAATAATAGTTTATTAGTTAAAAATTTTAAGGATTATGTATATATAAATTTTAAAAAAAATAATAATTCACTAAATATGATATTGAATAAACTTTATCTGTTTATCAATTATATTATAACATCCTTTAAAAATATATTAAAAAAAATATGATTAATAACTGTTATTATACTGCAGTTAGTAATACAAATCATATCAAAGTTAAAATTTATGTATTAACAAAAAAAAATAGAAATTTAATTAAAACAATGTTTAATCAATAACATCAACAATAAGCTCATCAATAGATACTACAAATAGTAAGTAGAAAATTATATGATAAAGTTTTTAATTTTTTAAAAATTGTTTATCAAAAAAAATTAATAGATAGCTTTCCACCACCATTTAAAACTAATGATGTAATAAGTATTAATTAATTAATTTTAATCATCGCAACTGTAATAATATCAATGTTAATGATAATTACTATAAAAAAAATTTCTCAACTTATTGATTATTGCAATGATTATAGTCTATAATCATTGTAACAATCAATTAGTTGCGAAAAAACACAGACAACACAACTGACATACAATTGGATAGCATTGACATCAGTGGTCCAACTGATGGACAAAGTGTTGGACAAAGTGTTGGACAAACCATTGACTTCAAGACATTACACAACAGGTTTCGTCCAAACAGTTATATTGAAGAACAGATTCAATACACACAACAAATAAAACACAAAAACTGATGAATACATTGCAAGACTTGAGACCAAAGATCCGATTTATTACAAACAAGTGTTGAGAAGAAAACATAAAATAATTATTAAAAATTTAAGTTATATTTATATTTCATTGTTTAAAAATAAATATTATTATGTAGTATCTAATACTAATATAAATACTAATATATTTTGAAAAATAGTATTTTATCTAATTTTATTTGCATTATTAATAATAGATTGATAACACATTGCTGTTGAATGTATTAATTTTAATTACAATTTTATTAAATTTTGTTATTATTATTATTATTAATAAAACTGTATATAAGTAAACAAGTAAAAATATATAAATTTAAAATAAATATTTTTTATTTAAACAATTATATATATATAAAGTTTTATTTATTACAGTAGAATTTATTTTATTGGATTTTTTAATAGTAATTTTTAAATCAATAATAATAATAATTAATAAATAATTTAGTTATTATTGATAGTATTTACAATCCAATTGACAAAACGTGAAACTCTTATAAAAGCCATATATAAGTATCGGATTGATTTGTCGAGACAATAAATTTTCCTATTTTTTACTCCCAGATTTGGTCAGTCCGATAACTACGGCCCGACCCCCGACATACTGGATCAATGGTCCGCCAGAATCACCCTATAAATTATAGTAAAAATTCAATTAAAAATATAACAATTTTTTAGTAAAATAATAAAAGTATTATTATTATTAAAAATAAACTAAAAACTATTAGTAAAAAAATAATAATCAATTAAATTAATTATTGTATTAAATCTTGAGATAATTTTTATAATGTACTACTTTTGCTTTATATTAAAATAAAATAGTTACTTAAATTTAATAATAACTATTGAAAATTCTAGTTATTAAAAGTTAATTAATAGTATCAAAAATTATATTTATAGTTTGATTTTTAAACTTTTTTTTATATTACAGCAAAAATTTTGTTTATTTGTTTAAAAATCAATTATATCTTATAATCATAAAATTCAAAACATAAATAAATAAAAATATATTATACATAAAATTAATTTAAGTTTATTATAATATAAAAATTATTCCAGTATTTAGATATAGTCAAACAAACTTTTAATATTTAATTTAAAAATAACAAAAAATAAATTTAATTAAATACTAATAATAATTATATTTTTAATTATTATAACTTGTATGAAAATATAAGTTTTTATACAAACAAAAAAATATAAAAATGTTTTATTTCTAAATATATTTAGTAGTAATAGACTAATAATATTATAATATTTATATTAATGTAAAACTAATTATTATTATTATTAATAGTATCGACAATCCAATCGACAAATCGTGAAACTCTCATGAATTTCATTACAGCATTTGGGTCATCATAACGGAGACAATAGAGATCCCTGTGTGAGGTACCCATTATTAGACCAATTAGTACGGCCCGTCCACCGACATACTGAACCACTGGTCCTCCAGAATCACCCTATAATTTAAATGTAGTTATTATCATAAAAATTGTTATTTTTATTTGTTATACTGTATATGATATGATATTATACTTGCATTACAAAATGATAATCCAGTCTTAAATGGATACCTGTGCGCCAAAATCCAATTACCCCAACGATCTCTTAATGTATTGATAGGTTTGTCCATTTTTATCCAACCCATCCACAATAGCCCTGTGTTTTGGATCCCTTCATCAGTCATACCGAAACCGGCAGTCAATGCCAATTCATCGACACTGTTAACAATGTCTTTCTCAGGTAAACATATACTGTTGACTACATGTGAATATCTGTCCACTGTTTCGGTGATCAGTATCGGTATCTGTGACTTCAATTTCAATAATACCATATCATATCTAAAATCTTTTGCTATCGTATAGTTTGGATGTATAAACAACTGCTGTACACCATATGTATGCCCGGTATGTGCTTTCAGGTCCTGAACTGTGCGCACAGTTAGCGTAAAATTTGGACTTTAAATTTTTGTTGTTGTAAATAAAAAAATAAATATAAGGAATTAAAACAACTAATAATAATAGTAATAATAGAAATTTAAATTGAATATAAATTACTATAAATAATAAAATAAGATATTAATAATTATTATTACACTAAACAATGGGCAACAGTTAGAATCCAATTAGTGTTTAATACAACACCAGTGCATCGGAATCTAAAAAATAAATTAAATATTATTATATTAATTAATTATATATATATAAATATATTATATATATTGTAAATATTGTAAATATTTAAAAATAAATGCCATATAGTCTGTATTACACATTATATATAATTATAATTAATTAATATAATTATATTTTATATATATAAGTAAAAATAATTTAAAACAAAATATTCTATTACTATATAAATATATGGTATATAATTCATTTAAAAGTTTTAATTATTGTCTATATTTAAAATAATTATTATATAATATACTTTATAAATTTATTAATTATAGATATAATTATATTAATATATTAATATTTAAACGAAATTATAATTACCTGTTTGTGCTTTGAGTAACATTTGAATACTGTTTTCCAACAATCCATGCAATCCACGGCCACTCTCCCGGTTCGGCTAACCGTCCGTTTTGTATACTAGCTGTCAGATTGTATGACCACTTGAAACACTGACCGGTAGTCAACAGTGATTGTCTGCCGATACCACACGTGTCGAGCGTTACGTTCGGGTATTGTTTGATACGTGAGTGCAAACCATTCACTACTACTACTACTGATAATAATGTTATCAATGATATTATAATAAGAAAAATAGTTGTTTTATACTTTATATCCATAAAAATAATAATAGCAAAAAATAATAATTATTTAAAAAACTATTTAAATTTTTATTATTATAGTATTTTATTTAAAAATACTTTTATATAATATAGCATATTTATTTTATAGTAATTTAAGTAATATTAAGAAATTTTATATACATTTATATTGAGTATGTTATTTTATATTTGAAATTAAAATTTCAAAGTTTAATGACTATATTGAAAAGATTATAGTTATATGAATATAAAAATAAGTTATTATAATTATTTTTGCTTTCAACTTAAATATTTTTAAAATCTAATATAAAACTAAAGTTATAAAAATTATTTTTGATAATACTTAATTGTTTTATCGTAAGTATGTTAAAACTACAAATAAAATGATGTGAACATACAAAAAAAATTATAACAATTTAAATTATAGTATAAAATGCTAAATTTTATTATTTTAGACAATAAAAATTAATTACAAAATGTTTAACATAATGTTAAGATCAGTTATAATATTAATTAAAAACAAATACAAAAAACTTAATCGTTTACTTAAGCGGCGGCTTTGGCTGCTTTGGCGGCCTTGTATTGAGCGTTGACGGCTAGAGCGGCTCCACTACCGTAACTGGCGGTCTGGAGGGGTAGGGGTTGAACAACGGGAGCGGCGGCGGCGGCAACGCGCTCTCCTTTGTGGACAACGGTATGGATCTCTTCGATGACCGGACGGATCTCTTGGGTGATTCGGCGATAGGGTTGGATAACTTCGCGGACTTCCTGGTAGATCGGTTTGGTTACTTCGTTGATCAGTCGGTGTGGTTGGTCCTGGAATGACGAGTGCTCTACTGATCCCTGGGATGGGGTATGTGTTTGATGGACTTGGATGCGGCTCGAAGACGATCGGAAGTTGATTTGGACGGGCATATTATCGGAGTTGACATCAATGACCTGTGGCTGAGCATAACTCGAGGGAATGGCCACTTGTCTCAGCTCAACGGTACGGCGTGTCTGTACGGCTGCTTCAATTGGTCCGGTGTATTGTTGAACGGCGGGTGCGGCATATGATTGGGTGGGTGCTGCGTACGATTGGGTTGGAGCGGCGTACGAGTTGACTGGTGCCGCCAACGGTAGCGGAGCCGGTGCGGACAGTTGTGTGGGTGCCATACCGTACTGGGCGTTGCAAGACAGGGCCAAAAGCGCCAAAATCGTGATTTTCAACATTTTTGTTGTTGTTATGAAGTGTTTGAAATTTATTGAATATACAAAAACGTTTTGATTAAATACCAAAAACTTATTGATTGATGACTTTTGAGAGAGTTTTCAATCCTTTTATACCCAAAATCGTGAACTAGTTTTTCACTTTCATTTCATTGATTATCAATTGACTTTGTGATCAAATATTGTGATATTTTTAATCAGATTATAATTATAGGTCAATATATTATACAGTATTTATTTTCTTTTTCTTATCTAAAAATAATTTTAATATTGATTAACATTTATTTAGAATTATTAATAATAATTACTATAATTGATGTTTATATTTAAATATAAACAAAGCTCTATATTTAAATAATTAAACTAGATAAAAATATAATATTAATTCAAATATTGTATTGTATTAGTTATTTCATAATTTAATTTTTATTTGATAATAATTTAAATTTATTAATAGTTTTTATCGATATTTATAATTATTATTATAAAATATATTTTATAGATTTAAAAAAAATGTTATACAGTATATTGTAAATATATTTTTAAATAATTTAAACTAAAACCCAATAATATGATACTAATTATATATATTTTTTTGTACAATAAAAATGTTTATTTTACTTTTATATGTTTTATACTATAAGCAATTTGTATGGTTATTGTAATGTTTGTTCACTAATTGTATTATAAATATATTTTAAAAACTAATATATAATTATAATTACTTAATTTTATAGAGTATTTTAATTTTTAATAATTTTAAATTAAATTATTTATTATTTTATTTTCAGATCATTCTGAATTTAACTGTTTTATTATAATTACAAACTATTTGTAATAAAATGATAAATATATTTAATTTACTAAAATTTATAAATATAAAATTATATATTAGTTTTTAAAATATATTTATATTTTTATATCAATAGCTTATAGAAAGTATTTTGATTAATGATATTTATCGTAATAATAGTAATGATAATTATTATAATGATATTATTATCAATAAATTTCATAAAAACATTGTCAGTCAACACAAATGGCAAACAATTGGATAACATTGACATCAGTGGTGTCACTGATAAGCAAAGTGATGATCAAATCATTTTAAGAAATTTATATAAAAATAGTTTGTATTAAATATATGCTTTAAAGTTAATTTTCACTAAAATATTTAAAATATATTAAATATATAAAAGTATTTTAGAGAAAATTACAACAAATATTCAAATAAAAAGTTTTTTTTAGACAAATAAATAATTATTACAAAAATGAAATGTTTATTTGATTCTCAAATTTGGATAATAAAACTATTAAATACAAAAAAAAATTGTACAAATATTATTTGATTACTTAAGCGGCGGCTTTGGCTGCTTTGGCGGCCTTGTATTGAGCGTTGACGGCTAGAGCGGCTCCACTACCGTAACTGGCGGTCTGGAGGGGTAGGGGTTGAACAACGGGAGCGGCGGCGGCGGCAACGCGCTCTCCTTTGTGGACAACGGTATGGATCTCTTCGATGACCGGACGGATCTCTTGGGTGATTCGGCGATAGGGTTGGATAACTTCGCGGACTTCCTGGTAGATCGGTTTGGTTACTTCGTTGATCAGTCGGTGTGGTTGGTCCTGGAATGACGAGTGCTCTACTGATCCCTGGGATGGGGTATGTGTTTGATGGACTTGGATGCGGCTCGAAGACGATCGGAAGTTGATTTGGACGGGCATATTATCGGAGTTGACATCAATGACCTGTGGCTGAGCATAACTCGAGGGAATGGCCACTTGTCTCAGCTCAACGGTACGGCGTGTCTGTACGGCTGCTTCAATTGGTCCGGTGTATTGTTGAACGGCGGGTGCGGCATATGATTGGGTGGGTGCTGAGTATGATTGGGTTGGAGCGGCGTACGAGTTGACTGGTGCCGGTGCAGCCATTGGCAACGGTAGCGGAGCCGGTGCGGACAGTTGTGTTGGTGCCATACCGTACTGGGCATTGCAAGACAGGGCCAAAAGTGCCAAAATCGTGATTTTCAACATTTTTTTTATTATGAAGTGTTTGAAAGTTTATTGAATATCAAATAATGATTGATTGATGACTTTTGAGGAGAGTTTTCAATCCTTTTATACCCAAAATCGTGAACTAGTTTTTCACTTTCATTTCATTGATTGTTAATTGAATTTATTATCAAATATTGTGCTATCTTTAGTCAGATTATAATTATAGGTCAATATGTTATATAGGATTTATCTTTTGTTTTATTTCTCTTATCTAAAACTAATATTAATATTGATTACCATTATATTAGATTTCTTATTAATAATTATTATAATTGATGTCTATTTTTACACTATATTTAAATAATCTAAAACTAGATAAAAACATAATATTTATTCAAATATTGTATTGTATTAGTTATTTCATAATTTAATTTATATATGATTTATAATTTAAATTTATTAATTTTTTTAGATCGATATTTATAATTATTATTATAAAATATATTTTGTAAATTTTAAAAATTATAAAATGCGTGTAAATAAGTTTTTAATTAATTTAAACTAAAACACAATTATATGATACTAATTATATGTTAAATTACTAATTAAATTTTTGTACAATAAAATGTTTATTTTACTTTTATATTTTTAAGACACCCTTTAATCATTATAAGGTTATTGTAATGTATATTTAATAATTTAATGAAAAATATATTTTATAAATTAGTATTTAAATAAAATGTTTTAATTTATATTAATTTTAAATTATATAATTTATTAATTATTTTACGATTCCCATTGAATTCAATTGTTTTATTATAATTACATAATTGTATAATATTATAATAGCTATAAAAATTTTAATATATTACATATAATTTAATCAAATTTACAAATAAAAAAATTATATAGCTGTTACAATATCTAATGATCAAAATTTTCAATTAATTAGTATTTCAAAAAAAAATTACGATTATCATAACAATAATATTGATAATTATTTTAATGATTGTCACAATCAATATGTTTTGTAAATAAATAATTTAAGAAAAACAAAGACAATAACACAACTGACATACAATTGGTTAGCATTGATATCAGTGGTCCAATTGATGGACACAAAGTATTGGCAAAAATCATAGACTTTAAAACAATAGACAACAAGTCTCGTTTTAGAGAAAATTAAGTATTTTAGAGAAAATTACAACAAAAATTCCAATAAAAAGTTTTTTTTAGACAAATAAATAATTATTACAAAAATGAAATGTTTATTTGATTCTCAAATTTGGATAACAAAACTATTAAATACAAAAAAAATTGTACAAATATTATTTGATTACTTAAGCGGCGGCTTTGGCTGCTTTGGCGGCCTTGTATTGAGCGTTGACGGCTAGAGCGGCTCCACTACCGTAACTGGCGGTCTGGAGGGGTAGGGGTTGCACAACGGGAGCGGCGGCGGCGGCAACGCGCTGTCCTTTGTGGACAACGGTATGGATCTCTTCGATGACCGGACGGATCTCTTGGGTGATTCGGCGATAGGGTTGGATAACTTCGCGGACTTCCTGGTAGATCGGTTTGGTTACTTCGTTGATCAGTCGGTGTGGTTGGTCCTGGAATGACGAGTGCTCTACTGATCCCTGGGATGGGGTATGTGTTTGATGGACTTGGATTCGGCTCGAAGACGATCGGAAGTTGATTTGGACGGGCATATTATCGGAGTTAACATCAATGACCTGTGGCTGAGCATAACTCGAGGGAATGGCCACTTGTCTTAGTTCAACAGTACGGCGTGTCTGTACGGCTGCTTCAATTGGTCCGGTGTATTGTTGTTGTTGGACGACAGGTGCGGCATACGATTGTGTGGGTGCTGAGAACGATTGGGTTGGAGCGGCGTACGAGTTGACTGGTGCCGGTGCAGCCATTGGCAACGGTAGCGGAGCCGGTGCGGACAGTTGGGTGGGTGCCATACCGTACTGGGCATTGCAAGACAGGGCCAAAAGTGCCAAAATCGTGATTTTCAACATTTTTTTTATTATGAAGTGTTTGAAAGTTTATTGAATATCAAATACTGATTGATTGATGACTTTTGAGGAGAGTTTTCAATCCTTTTATACCCAAAATTGTGAACTAGTTTTTCATTTTCATTTCATTGATTGTTAATTGACTTTATTATATCAAATTTTGTGATATTTTTAGACAGATTATTATTTGAGGTCAAATAAGTTATATATTATAGATACTCTCTCATACTCTCTCATACTCTCTCATACTCTCTCTCTCTCTCTCTCTCTCTCTCTCTCTCTCTCTCTCTCTATGTGTGTGTGTGTGCCTATGTGTTACTCTAATAATTATAGCAATATTTAAACAAATAATGATTTCAAATATTATGAGTTTACACGTTGTTTAACATTTGAATACTGTTTGCCAATAATCCTTACAAACAAAGGCTAACCATATGTTTTGTATAGTTGTGGTCACATTGTATGACCAATTGAAACACTGACCGGTAGTCATGAACAGTGATTGTCTGCCGATACCACACGTGTCGAGCGTTACGTTCGGGTATTGTTTGATACGTGAGTGCAAACCATTCACTACTACTACTGTTACTAATTGATATTAAACTAAGAAAAATGATTGTTTTATTATAATTTATATCTATTACTATAATAATAAATAATTATTTTATTTTATTGTTATCTAATTATATAATTTAAATTTTTTTTATAATTATAATTACGATTTTAAAGTATTATTTAATACGAAAAGTTACGATTTTTTATTTTGCTTATAATTTATTAACTAATAAACAAAGAAAAATGTTAAAAGTATTAAATAATACTTTAAAATAAAGATTATTATTTCATAGCATAGTATATATTGTAATTTAGTTTAAATAAAAATTAACAAAAAAGCACTAATATTTTGTTAATATTTAGTTAAATCTATAGAATTAATTATACTCTAGACAATTTAGAAAGCTATTTAATCAAGATATTTTATTGTATTAATTATACAGTAAAAGTAAGCAAATAATAATAATAATACTTAATGTATAAATAATGTATAAATAGTTTTGATAACTTAAATAGGATTAAATTTTTAATATATCTTTCAGTTATAAAATTTGCTCTACTTTTGAAAAATTAGACCTAAATTAATGAAAAGTTAGAAAAAGATAGTAAGAGAGAGAGAGAGAGAGAGAGAGAGAGAGAGAGAGAGAGAAAAGAGAGAGAGAGAGAGAAAGAAAGAGAGAGAAAGAGAGAGAGAAAGAGAGAGTACATGCAATATATCTTATATACAAATATTGACCTTAAAATTATAATTCAACTAAAAATATCACAAAATTTGATATCAAAATTAATCAATCTATCAAATGAAAGTGAAAAACGAGTTTACAATTATTGGGTATAAAAACATTGAAAACTCTCACATAAAGACATCAATCAGTTTGTGGTATTCAATCAAATCATTTTATATTTTTAAACAACTTTAAAAACCAAACATTTCATTTAAAAAAATGTTGAAAATCACGATTTTGGCACTTTTGGCCCTGTCTTGCAATGCCCAGTACGGTATGGCACCCACCCAACTGTCCGCACCGGCTCCGCTACCGTTGCCAATGGCTGCACCGGCACCAGTCAACTCGTACGCCGCTCCAACCCAATCGTTCTCAGCACCCACACAATCGTATGCCGCACCTGTCGTCCAACAACAACAATACACCGGACCAATTGAAGCAGCCGTACAGACACGCCGTACTGTTGAACTAAGACAAGTGGCCATTCCCTCGAGTTATGCTCAGCCACAGGTCATTGATGTTAACTCCGATAATATGCCCGTCCAAATCAACTTCCGATCGTCTTCGAGCCGAATCCAAGTCCATCAAACACATACCCCATCCCAGGGATCAGTAGAGCACTCGTCATTCCAGGACCAACCACACCGACTAATCAACGAAGTAACCAAACCGATCTACCAGGAAGTCCGCGAAGTTATCCAACCCTATCGCCGAATCACCCAAGAGATCCGTCCGGTCATCGAAGAGATCCATACCGTTGTCCACAAAGGACAGCGCGTTGCCGCCGCCGCCGCTCCCGTTGTGCAACCCCTACCCCTCCAGACCGCCAGTTACGGTAGTGGAGCCGCTCTAGCCGTCAACGCTCAATACAAGGCCGCCAAAGCAGCCAAAGCCGCCGCTTAAGTAATTAATTATTTGTTTAAAATATATATTTAAAAATTAGTTGCTGTTTTAAATATGAGACTATTAGACTAAATAAAAAAATACAAATATTATTTTTGTAATTAATTGTAATATTTCTAAAAAATAAATTTTTTCTATAATATTTTTTTAGTATTGTTATTTTTATAATAATTATAGGATATGAGAGCATAAACAAAAAAAACAATTACATAATAAAATTATTTTATTTACAGTATTTTAGTAGAATAATTTAATTATTAATGTATAAAATTTTAAATAAATTTATCAATATATATATATAGTTCTCATTATTCGGATGTTATACTAAACAGCAATTGGATTATAACAGTAGCCCATTGTCTCAAATAGTTATGTGATCTTTAAATAATATACATATAAATTATATAAAATATTAGTCAAAAATTAAAAATTTATTTTTTTTGTTTTGTTTATTTTGTTGTATTTTTCAAAGAACTGATCACACGTTTAGTGTTCGTACAGTTCAGGATCATAGAGATGATAGCCATACATATGGTGTCCAACAGGTTCACTATCATCCACTATATTTCGGATCAGATAAACCAAACAAAACACATGACATTGCCATTACTTAAATTGAAATCACAAATACCGATACCGACAATAACAACAACAACAACAATAAGTGGCGGTAATAGCTAACATTATTATTATTATTATTATTAATAATACAGTACATTATCAGTTATCATAAAATAATTAATAAATTAGTTAATTTAAAACTACTATACAGTATATATGCTGTTATTGTGTATTGATTAAGTAGTTTGTAAAGTATATCTTAAATTTAGCAAACATTACACAGCATGTATACAAATTGATAATTAACTATTAAATAGTTAAAGTGTTATAAACTTATAAACATTTTTATTGTTCAAAATAAATCTTATATAATATTATTATTCAAATTTATTAATATGTATATAGAATTAATTTAAATGATAGTAATAATATTTTATTTATATAAATAAAAATTATTTTTAAGTATTAAAATATTATTATGGTATTTAATTTTCTAATTTATACAATGTAAAATAAAATTAGTTATATTTTATAGAAAATTATTCAATAAAAATAAAAAATAATAACACATTAATACAAATATATATATATATAAACATGGTCAAACAATTATATTGAATAAAAACTATAACAAAAAATATGTTAACTTATATTTAATTTAGTTATATGTGAATAATAATTAATAAACAAAACAATATTTTTTTGGGCACAATAATTTTTATTAAGATTTTATGAATTAAATATTTAATTATCAAACATATGATATAATGATTTTTAAAAAGTTGTTTATTGTTTTAACATTTGTTTTAAAATAGTTTATATGATATTACAATAGTTTCAAAATAAAAACAATAAAATTAAAAAAACACTTTAAAAAAATGTTTCATAATTTCTTAATATAAAAGTATTGTTAAATTAATACCAAAAAAATGTTTTAAAATTATAAAATATATAATATAACATTTGTATATTTGTATTACAATATTTTTAAAATTATAACATAATGTATAAATATAAATTAAATAATAAATAATTATAATAAATATAAATCAAAATGATTATTAGTAAATTTAAATGATTATCAAATATAAACTAAATTATATATATATATATAACTAATGAAGTATAATTTTTAAATAACAATAATAATTATTAACATTTTATTATAATTAGTATTTTTGAATTAATTATTTTTGAATTACTTTTTTTTTAATTTAATTTAATTATAATTAATTATTTTTAATAGTTTATTTTTTTAAATAGGCATCAATATATATAGTATATTTTAAAAATCAATAATTATACAAAACTAATTATAATAAAATGTTAATTAGTATTACTATTATTTTCATAAATATTAATAATAATAATAAACAATAAATAATTTATGCCCCCAGTGGGGCCCCCAATCCCTGATTAAACCCGTTGTTATTTTTGTGTTCATATAATGATAACAAAATTGATATTAATATTTCATTTTTTTACTACATGATAACAATAATAATTGTTATGCAATAATATAATAATAATAATAATAGGGATAGTTTTTTGAATTAAAAATATTTTTTTCTCTAAATTATTTTGTTTTTATTACAAAAAAAAATTTGATAAAATGATTTCATTTTTATGTCATGGATGGATTAGATGGTAAATATACACATAATATACTGTATATAAATATATATATATACAGTATATACTGTATAAATGCTATATATATAATATTAATAAAAATAAAATGGACACCAGGGACATTAAAACATTTTTTATACAATTAGCTAGCTACATTATATATTTTTAGTAATATTTTAAAAAATAAACAATAATTATAAATAAATAAATAAATAAAAATCTAACTATTGATATAATCAGTCAAATATTGTGATTAAATACTATTGTATATCATAATATTAGTTATTGATTATGTAATAATAATAATTTAATATTATTATTATTATTAGTAATACTGTATACAAAAATATGTTTCGTTGATTTCGATGATGATGTAGTGATAATGATTATTTATTATATTATTTTCATCATTATCAATTTTTTTTAAATATCATATTATATTATCTACATTGATTATTTTTGTTTTTCTAAATATATAGAGTCTAGGTAGCTAATAAAAACATTAAGTGTGCATAATTTAAATACATATATAACTTATATTTTTTTTGAAAAAAATCTATTACTTTATAATAGACAGTATAGATTTTTTTTTATTGATCACCGGGATAAAATATATATTAAACCTAATATTGTGCATGATAAAATTAAAACATTTGATCATTGTGTACTACTAGCTATATATATAATTAATCAATGATCATCACCTAATTTTTCATATATATAATTAACTCCCTAAGCTCATCATCATTATCAACCATCACCCCATTCCTATCCATTACTACTAATACTACTACTACTGTACTAATCATCCGCTTTCAATAGTATAGCATTTGAGTGGACAGTACTCTGTACGGCAATTGAGTCTATACTATCAGTACTGCCCCGTAACGAATCGGGCAACTGTTTATGTATACAACTATCTACTGTCGATGACTTGTCTGTACTATTACTACTACTGTTCAAATTGCTGGCACCATCACCACCACCACAACCACAGCATCCCGTTTCCCAACTACAGCTACAGCAGCAGCACAGTCGACGCCTTAATCGCCTAAACAATTTCGGCGACTCATTGTACCACTTGTCCAGTGCCAGTATGACTACACACGAGCTAACTAGACAGGCGCCCAAAACACTGGTCCATTCGACAGCTTCGGCCAGTAGTACTACTTCCCAGATAAACGACAGGACAATGTTGAACGTACGGGTGACCGACACCGGACCGGCCGATTCGTATTTGAGGGCTGTAGTCAAGAAAAACTGGTCGCCAATACCGCACGCGCCCACTCCGGCCAACAGTGTCCACGTCCACCAGCCTTCGGGCCAAGTAATCTTTTGCAAGACAATCAATATGACAACACCGGCCACTATACTGGTAGCCGAATACCACATGACTACTACGGCTACGGGTGTTGTCTTCAGCCGACGTAGTGTTATCATAGATAGGGCAGCAGTCAGTGCGGCAATACTGGCCAATATGGTACCCAACAAACGATTTTCGTGTACCGATTCCGATGTTTCCGCTCCGAACAGAAACTCCGGTTTGGCAATAATGACAACACCGGTCAACGTTATGGTACCGGTCAGCACCTGGAGTACTGTTAACGGCTCTTTCAGTATGAAATAGGCAAATATTGTTACGAAAACTGGCGAAGCAAAGTGTATGGTCGATGCGTCGGCCAACGGCATCAGCCGATAGGCAACAAATATGGTTATCAACGATATGGTACCCGACACACACCTAAAAGCCAGATCCAGTCGATGGCCACGACGGGGCATCAATGGATATCTGTAGATCAGTGCCGTAATTGTGTAGAATGTGAACTGTATTGTGCACCTGTAGTTATTTTTTTGTGGGAAATTAATTAATAATAAAAATTAATAATTAATTATTTTAATTATGTTTTGTTTGTAACAAAATAATGTAATAGTATACTAATAAATAAGATTATATTTTAATATATATATATTAAGTATATATATATATAGTCAGATAATTAAGTTTATTATAGTGTCATTATTTAATTTTTATTCATAAAAAAATTGCTAAAAATTGTAAAATGTTAAATATGTGAAAAATATATGCAATTATTAAAATATTTAAATATAATGATTTAAAAAAATTAATTCAAACTATCTAAACAAATATATATTAATTATATTATATATATACAGTATATATCCTATAAATATTTGCTAAACACAACATACCTGATTACTAGCACTTGTATTGAGTGCATTTGTGTTAGCACTTTGACTATAACTGAGCCAATACTGAAACAGACTACCGATGTTAGTGCCATTAATAGGCCGAAAGCTGGTATCCTTTTGGCCAGTGATCGGCGTTTTTGTGGACATCCAATATTTTCAACATCATTATCTGTGTAGTTATTATTATTACCAACAATAGGCACCAGCATCTTTTGTTTGGCACCGGCATCCAAATCGAGTACCACTGCCGCTACCAATGGAGGACTGGTAGTAGTTGTTGTGGACGTTATGTCGGCACCGTTAGCAGCGGCCGCGGCCAATGCCTGTTGGTGTTGTTGGGCCAATAGTATATCGGTAACGGTTTTCTCGTTAAGCAATGGCATTGTTGTTGTTGTTGTTGTCTTTTAGATATATATATATATATATATATAAATATATATATGTTTTATCACTAAATAATTTTGTTTTTGAAATTTTATTTTACAAAAACATATAGAAAGATAAATATAATTAGTTATAATTAGTTTAAATGTATATAATTTAATAATAATAATAATAATAATAAAATTATTTTTCTAAAAAAATAATTATTTAATAATTTAAATAAGTAAAATAATAATTATTAATTAGTTTTAATTAATATATTAGTATAAATATATATATAGTCGTATAGAATTAAATATGCATTAATTAATAACACATTTATTTATGATAATAATAGTTTATAAATTCAATATTAAATGTTTTTCTTTTTTTTAATTATCATATTGTACTGTATTTTATATATAAGCAAATATTATTAATTATTAATAAGAAATGATAACAATATTATTAATAATAATATGAGAAATCTATTATAAGTATTAATATACAGTATTATATTTGAAGAGAAAAAATTTCCAAATGATTTGAAGTTTTATATAAAATTAATTAATTAAAATACTTTCTTAAATACATAAACGACAAAATACTTTATTATTAAAATTATTATTATTATTATTGTTATATAATAAGATAATTTTAAAATAAATTTTCATTTTTCATAATGTTTTTTGTTGTGAAATAAAAATTGTAAGATTTTCTTATTATATTTTGTTGCAAACATTTGTTATTCAAATTAAATTAAAACACAAATAATTTGATATCTTCTCTCTTAAAATTATTTTGGTTTCTGATTATATTATTATTATTATTATTGTTTAGTTTTGTATTATAGTTGTTATTATTATAGACTAAAAATTTATGTATTTTTTTAGTCGCTGTTATCGTTGAAATAAAAGTTTATAATTATTTCTTTGGTTTGTCTGTTGCACTTTAAGTGAAATATAATGATCTAAAAAAAATTTATTTTTTATTTTTCAAGTATATGACTAATAATATTATACATAATTTATAACTGACAAAAAAATAAACAAAACTTATGTATAATAATATTATAGTCGATAATAAAATATTCAATAGTTTTTACGATGAAATATTCAATATTACAAAAACATATATTTGAATAAATAAATTATAAATAAATAACATAATTATTTAGATATTATAATACTGCAGATATTTTTTTATATACCGTATCTGAACAGTATAATAAAAATAAAAATAATAATATTTATTTTACCAGTATATTAATATTAACATAAAATATTAATATAATATCTATGAATTTAATTAATAAGTCTATAAAAAATAATAAACAAATAAAACAATTTATGACAATAATAATAATTATTATTACTATTATTACTTTATATGTAATTTAATGCTAATTATTAATTCATTCAAACATTTTTGGTGACCTTTAGATCCATTGATGCCTTATTTTTATAAAGTTATAAATGTTTTTATTATGAAATTTAATATACAAAAAAAACATTTTTTGTTTGTTTTTTAGTTAGTTAAATATATTTAAAATAATATACAATTTATTAAAATTTAGTTTATTTACTAATAAAATTATAAACCCATATATACTTGTATATATTTTGTATTTATATAACTAATATAAATAAATAAAAAATAATAATAAATTTAACCAAGATAAAGCAATTTTTTATGATTACTCAATTAATATGCTAAAAAATTAAATAATATTTTATAATTTTTTATTATAATTGACGGTAAATGTTGGAATATATATATATATATATATATATATATATATATAGTATTAATTAAACAATATAATATAAAACAATTTTTGTATATTTATAGTTTATTATGTAATACCAAATTAAATATATTTGTACACTATATATATATATATATATATATATATATATATATATTACAGTCTATTATATAGGATTTGTTATTATTATATTATTAATACTAGACAATAATATTATTAATAATATATATATATTTATTGTGTCATGAAATGCCACTAAATCTACTGATAAGTCTAAATGATTGTTTGCCATAAACTCAGTGATAATATTGTATTACCAAAAAAAAAACATTATTAATCAATATATTAATTCTTGAGTGTTCTCTCTTTCTTTCTCTCTCTCTCTCTCTCTCTCTCTCTCTCTCAATCCAAGTAATATTGATTACCATAAGGTTTGGATACATTTACTGTATATAAAAATTATTTATAACATACAATTTATTATGATTACTAAATACTATATATATATATTCAATGCCAGGAAATGTTATTCAAAACCACACACACATCATATTGCATACATACATGTATATACAGAATATATTAATTTTTATTATTTTCATTGTTGAATATAGTTTTTATTTGTTGGCAATCATATGATCGCATCGTGACTTAAGGAAGTTAGTGTAGATTTTTTTTAGGGGGGGAGAGGAATGGGATGTCAAATGAAATATAACACACTTAGTATAGTATAGATATGTTATGTACAGAATCACACATATATGCCAACAAAATATAGTGAGAATACTGTATATATATATATATATATAATTTTGCGCACAATCTGCAAGTTTTATATCAATACAGCAATAATAATAATAATATAAAGTAGAGAAAGGGATCGGTAGGGAAAGGGAAAGGGATTACAAACGACACCAATGAGAACCAGTTTAGACCAGTATTTTTCGTTTGCAATATCATTGTATTTTTTCACATTACATGTCGTCTATATACTGTAGATGTCTATTATTGTCTTATATTATATAAAATACTGTATACTGTATCGACAACAATAAAAAAAATCTAATGATTGTATGTAAAAATCCTATTTGCAAACATTGACTTTTTTATTGTATGTATAATTTATTGTACAGTACTTACTATACATAATGAACAAAATAAATAGCAATATATTTCATAATTGTTTTAATATACTGTTGCCAATCATCCATATGCAATTATACTGTAAATCTAGATGTATAACTATGTTAGGTATTACTATTGTTATTATTGTTATTAAATTTATCTAGCTAAATTTATTGATCCAAATGTTATCCTAGATTTTGTTGTTGTTGTTGTTGTTGTTGTTATTTACTAGATTACTAGGAACTGGTGTTTATAAATAATCAATATAATCAATATCTAGTCTACCAATCCTATAGCTCATCCCTATTATCCAAATTATTTTTATCGTACAATTATTATAATAGTATTACAGTATTATTATTATTATTAAGTGCGATAAGTCTATTATTGATTGATAATCACATAAAAAAATTATTGTCAAAAACACTACTAGTATATAAATTAATATAAATTTAAAAAAATAGTAGTGTTGCATATGATTTTTTTTGTTGAAATAAATAAACATAAATAAATATAGTTTATAATACTATACTAACTATACTAGTCTATTGTTAGTTAATTTTTTATATTTATATAAAGCCTACACAATTGTAGTACACACCCAATTATTAGATTGCCTATAAATGCAATTGTTTAAATGTCAAATGTTAACGTATTATATAATTTATAATTATTGTGATAATATTTACACCAATATATAGTCAATAGTTACACTGGTATTTGTTATAAAATTATATATATATATAATCTTATATGGCTATAAGTTATTAGTTAGGGAACGGTTAGTAAACAAATTAATAATATTAGTTTATTTTGGCAATAATATCTTGTAGTTTATAATTAGATTTTTTTTTGTTGCAAACTATACACAGAATATATACAACATTACTAAAAAAAATTGAATTTTATTTTAATATATTATTTTTTATGAATGTTTAAAACTTATTTTTTTCTAAACTATTTTTATCTAATAAACGATTTTATATATTAAAAACTCATAATAATTATATATTTTTTTAAAAAAAACTCATTGCTATTATTACACCGTTTATATTATTGTATTATTCTGTATTATAGTCTAATAATCATTAAATTATTTTTGTTATATTTTTTGGTTATTTTTACATATTTCGCAAACATTATCGACACCGCCTCTCAATTTAACAATAATATTATTAATATATATATATATATATATATATTATATATATATATTGTATATGTGGTTATCGGAAAAAATTATAAATACTAAATAATTAATCAACTATTTTTCGCAATTATTTTTTACACTCATATATGTATATATATATATATTATAAAAAACTATTTTTCAATAAATTTATATAAATATATTATTTATAGATTTTTTTCGCCCAATCCTTTAGATCTCTCTCTCTCTCTCTCTCTCTCTCTCTCTCTCTCTCTCTCTCTCTTTCAACCAAATCACTCGCTCAGTGAATGTCTGTCTATATATTACATGAAATACTGAGAAATAGTTTCATCAGAAAACTGAAAAAATACTGACACAAAAAATCAATAAATAAAATGAACATAAAAACACATATAAATTTATATCATATAAAAAACAAACACAAAAATTCAACTATAGTAACATACAGTAAACATTGCACTGTTAAAAATAGGTTAGCAATTGACGTAAAATGTCATAATAATAATAATAATAAATTTATATTTATATATAATTTTATATTTACATTAACGTTTAGATAGAAATAATAGATATGTGAGAAATAATATAATTTATCAAAAAAAAAAATTACGTAAATGTACTGAAATTTACTGAACTTTACAACAAAAAAAATAATAATTAGAAGATAAAATTAAATTAAAAAACAATTAGATAATTAAATTATAATTTAGATAATAATTTTTAATTTATTGTTATTATTCATAAACACACACACACACACACACACACACACCCATTAAAACCCACATAAATATAACATTTATTAGTAATTATATATATAATTAATAAATTTAGACATTTTTGAATTTGAAAATAATAATAAAACATTTTTTTAATTTTCATTTTTTTCTTATAAAATGGAAATTTCCATACATTTTATTAAAAATATTTTTTTTGTTTTATATTAAAAATTTGTG